TATTTTGAATCCTTATACTCCAATAAATTAGAAGATAGTGAAGGCATAGATAAATTTCTTAAGTCATATGATCTGCCCAGATTGAGTCAGGAGGATATAGACAACCTAAACAGACCAATATCAATTGAGGAAATAGAAGAAACCATCAAAAGACTACCAACTAAGAAAAGCCCAGGACCGGATGGGTATACAGCAGAGTTTTACAAAACCTTTAAAGAGGAACTAATACCAATACTTTTCAAGCTACTTCAGGAAATAGAAAAAGAGGGAGAACTTCCAAATTCATTCTACGAGGCCAACATCACCCTGATACCTAAACCAGACAAAGACACTTCAAAGAAAGAAAACTACAGACCAATATCTCTAATGAACCTAGATGCAAAAATCCTCAATAAAATTCTGGCCACTCGGATACAAAAACTTATCAAAAAAATTGTGCACCATGATCAAGTAGGATTCATCCCTGGGATGCAAGGCTGGTTCAATATACGGAAATCAATAAATGTTATTCACCACATCAATAGACTTAAAAATAAGAATCATATGATCATCTCGATAGATGCGGAAAAAGCATTTGACAAAGTACAGCATCCCTTTATGTTCAAAACTCTAGAAAAACTAGGGTTAACAGGAACATACCTCAATATTGTAAAAGCAATCTATGCTAAGCCTCAGGCTTGCATCATTCTGAATGGAGAAAAATTGAAGGCATTCCCTCTAAAATCTGGAACAAGACAGGGATGCCCTCTCTCACCACTTATGTTCAACATAGTTCTCGAAACACTGGCCAGAGCAATTAGACGAAAGAAATTAAAGGCATCAAAATAGGAAAAGAAGAACTTAAATTATCACTATTTGCAGATGACATGATTCTATACCTAGCAGACCCAAAAGGGTCTACAAAGAAACTATTAGAGCTAATAAATGAATTCAGCAAAGTGGCAGGATATAAAATCAACACGCATAAATCAAAGGCATTCCTGTATATCAGTGACAAATCCTCTGAAATGGAAATGAGGACAACCACTCCATTCACAATATCTTCAAAAAAAATAAAATACTTGGGAATCAACCTAACAAAAGAGGTGAAAGACTTATACAATGAAAACTACAGAACCCTAAAGAGAGAAATAGAAGAAGATCTTAGAAGATGGAAAAATATACCCTGTTCATGGATAGGCAGAACTAACATCATCAAAATGGCGATATTACCAAAAGTTCTCTATAGGTTTAATGCAATGCCAATCAAAATCCCAACGGCATTTCTTGTAGAAATAGAGAAAGCAATCATGAAATTCATATGGAAAAACAAAAGACCCAGAATAGCAAAAACAATGCTAAGCAGGAAGTGTGAATCAGGCGGTATAGCGATACCAGACTTCAAACTATACTACAGAGCAATAGTAACAAAAACAGCATGGTACTTGTACCAAAACAGGCGGGTGGACCAATGGTACAGAATAGAGGACACAGAAACCAATCCACAAAACTACAACTACCTTATATTTGATAAAGGGGCTAAAAGCATGCAATGGAGGAAGGATAGCATCTTCAACAAATGGTGCTGGGAAAACTGGAAATCCATATGCAACAAAATGAAACTGAATCCCTTTCTCTCGCCATGCACAAAAGTGAATTCAAAATGGATCAAGGAGCTTGATATCAAATCAGAGACACGCCGTCTGATAGAAGAAAAAGTTGGCTATGATCTACATACTGTGGGGTCGGGCTCCAAATTCCTCAATAGGACACCCATAGCACAAAAGTTAATAACTAGAATCAACAAATGGGACTTACTCAAACTAAAAAGTTTTTTCTCAGCAAAAGATACAATAAGAGAGGTAAATAGAGAGCCTACATCCTGGGAACAAATCTTTACTCCTCACACTTCAGATAGAGCCCTAATATCCAGAGTGTACAAAGAACTCAAAAAATTAGACAATAAGAGAACAAACAACCCAATCAACAAATGGGCCAAGGACCTGAACAGACACTTCTCAGAGGAGGACATACAATCAATCAACAAGTACATGAAAAAATGCTCACCATCTCTAGCAGTCAGAGAAATGCAAATCAAAACCACCCTAAGATACCATCTCACTCCAGTAAGATTGGCAGCCATTATGAAGTCAAACAACAACAAGTGCTGGCGAGGATGTGGGGAAAAGGGTACACTTGTACATTGCTGGTGGGACTGCAAATTGGTGCAGCCAATTTGGAAAGCAGTATGGAGATTTCTTGGAAAGCTGGGAATGGAGCCACCATTTGACCCAGCTATTCCCCTTCTTGGTCTATTCCCTAAAGACCTAAAAAGAGCATGCTACAGGGACACTGCTACATCGATGTTCATAGCAGCACAATTCACAATAGCTAGACTGTGGAACCAACCTAGATGCCCTTCAATGGATGAATGGATAAAAAAAATGTGGCATTTATACACAATGGAGTATTACTCTGCATTAAAAAATGACAAAATCATAGAATTTACAGGGAAATGGATGGCATTAGAGCAGATTATGCTAAGTGAAGCTAGCCAATCCCTAAAAAACAAATGCCAAATGTCTTCTTTGATATAAGGAGAGTAACTAAGAACAGAGTAGGGTCGAAGAGCATGAGAAGAAGATTAACATTAAACAGGGATGAGAGGTGGGAGGGAAAGGGACAGAGAAGGGAAAATGCATGGAAATGGATGGAGACCCTCAGAGTTATACAAAAGTACATACAAGAGGAAGTGAGGGGAAGGGGAAAAATAATATAAGGGGGACAAACGAATGTCAGTAGAGGGAGCAGAGAGAGAAGAGGGGAGGGGAGGGGAGGGGAGGGGGGATAGTAGAGGATAGGAAAGGCAGCAGAATACAACAGACACTAGTATGGCAATATGTAAATCAATGGATGTGTAACTGATGTGATTCTGCAGTCTGTATATGGGGTAAAAATGGGAGCTCATAACCCACTTGAATCAAATTGTGAAATATGATATATCAAGAACTATGTAATGTTTTGAACAGCCAACAATAAAAAATTAAAAAAAAAAATGACAACTTTCTGCAAATTACTCCATATTTGGTGCAGTTTTAATAGAAATCCTATTGGAGTTTGATAGATCTCATTCTACAATTCATGGGGAAGAGTAGAGGACCCAAAAACAAAAAGCAGTATACAAGATAGGAAGTGTATGACTTAACTGTATTGTATTAGTTATTAAAACACAGGGTGATATGGGCACAGGAATGATAAACAGACCAACAAACAAAATAAAGAACCCAGATACTTACCCACATGATGCTAGAACTTACTGTATCACAGGCATAATAAAGGAGTCGTAGGCGCTCAACAAATTCTGTCAGGGTGGGAGTAACTGACTGTCCTATCTCATGCTACATATATATAAAAGTAAATTCCAGATGGCTCAATGAAGTGAGATTTCAAGATATTTTTAAGAAATTACAGTGGAATGTTTCAAAGTCTGTTAAAGGTTCTTCATGCATGTACTCATACGTATGCAATTTCACGTGACATTTACATGTTTTCTCTTATTGTAATCTTTTTGCTAGGCAATTACCTTTCCCTTCTTTCTCCCTGTCCTTCCCCATGTAAGTCCTTCCTTCCATCCCCAGCCTCTACTCTAACCCATAACAGTAACACCATTTGTATACTTCTATATTTTGCTCATATTATAATTAACTAATACACACATGGGCCTACAGATGGATACACATATACAGGATATCTGGCTAGTTGGCTTTTCAACATTGTAATCATACTATTCATACTTTTCTGTATCATCTGGATATGATCTTTTGTTTTTCATGTTGTCACCTTATATTCAATTTTTTTTCCAGTTCTGATTTATATTGTTCTTTCGTTTCTCGTTTCATTTTCTTAATTTCTTTTAGTTCAATTTGAAATAGTGTATTGCAGTTTTGTCTGCCCCTTCAAGCATTTCCCTCTGCTGTGCCTTCATTCCTTAAAAGGATGGTAGTCTGCCCCTTATTCTCTTTTTTCTTAGAATGATTCTGTACAGGATTTAACTTTGAGAATTTTTGTTCATCTTAATGTGAATTTTGTTTTTCTCCACTTTTACAAGGAGGCTGGGTTTAGGTAACTTTTCTAACTTCACAGGGCTCCCTATTTTTATGTTGGCTTGCTTTCTGATACCTCCTGGTTCCATTATTTCCCCCTTTCCCTTCTGTACTTTGTCTTTCCTTTTTCCTTTTCTCTGATGACTCTGTGCTACTCAACTCTGATTAGACTCTTAGTAGTTTCTCTTCTGTGTGGAGCCAAGAACTCTTAAGGGAGTCCTGGTTGATCCATTTTTGATATTTCACAAGAGCTAAACTGGTCGCAAGTACTCTAAAAAGTTATTTTGAGATGAAGTGTTACTTAAAGGTAGTATTCTATATTGACCATAAACCATAAATAATAGGTACACAGTTTTTCTACTGCTTAGCACCAGTAGAGCTGAATGATACTGGAAAGTAAATCCAGGGATATCAGTTTCAGCTTTCACTTGCTAAATCCTGCTTCAGGCAACACATCTTTTAGTTACTTTACTTTGGGCCAGGAAGAAAAAAGGACTTTTTTTCCCTAGTGAAAATTTCCCTCCTTTGCCCCCAGGATAAACCGTAAGTATTCCTTTTAAAAAAATAAAATAAAATAAAAAAGTGTTGCCTTTCTCTTATAAAATCTATTTTACTTTTTCCTCGAAGTACAGACAGACCAATAACAATATGAGTACTATTCTGAGACCTTTACATAAATACACTTTTTTATATGATGGAATCACTTCACAGCAAGAGATAACTTATGGGGGGGTGGGGCTATTTTGATAGTATATGTGCCAGGGACAATTTATAAATGTTCCTCATCAAAATACTTTCCCTTTGCATATATACAAAAGCTTAACATTTTTAAGTTATTTTTCTGTTCGTTGCAGTTTGTTTATGGGCTAACATGTACCACTTGTACATAAGGATGAAATCTTTTTATTTTCCTTATAGAAAAGAAAACGAAGAGAGAAAGATGATGATGTTGTGAGCCTTAGCAGCCTTGATCTGAAGGTAAGCCTTGATGCCCTATTAAAGAAAAGCACTTTAAAATTTGTGAATATCCTTTTATTTCTATGCTATAAGAATGAATATCAGGTTTTTAGGGGGAAAGATGGTTTGTGGAATTTTTAAGTGCAAAACTGAATAATATTGGTTCACAGAGACCCTCTTTTTTGCTATTCTACTTCTTGGTTAAAAATAAGGGGGAACCACTCTCAAAACTGTTAGATCGGGGCTAGTGTGTAGCAGCCAAGTCTGGTGAAGAGGAAGCACTATGGTGCTCTAGCCTTTAAGGAATAGCAAAAATCCCTTAATATGATCAGATACAGTTCATACTTGACGATCTGTGATTAATTATATCTAAGTGTTTTTTAATTTGTAGATTCCCTGTTGCTTTTTGTTTTCTTATAATTTTTTGTTGTTGTTGTTGTTATTGAAGAAACTGTCATTTTTTTCCTTTAGCACTTTCCACATCCCCATGATATCATTTACCATGTTATGATATTCCCTACATTTCTGATAAGTTGACCAGCAAGTAAATGGAAACTATAAAATGTGAAACCAGGGCTGGGGATGTGGCTCAAGTGGTAACGCGCTTGCCTAGCATGCGCGGAGCGCTGGTTTCAATCCTCAGCACCACTTGATTAAAAAAAATAAAATAAAACAAAGATGTTGCGTCAACCAAAACCTGAAAAATAAAATAAATATTAAAAAAATTCTCTCTCTCTCTTAAAAAAAAAAAAAAATGTGAAACCACTGGGCACAGAGGCATATGCCTGTAATGCCAGGAGTTTGAGAGTTTGAAGCAGGAGAACCACAAGTTCAAGGCCAGCCTTAGGAACTTAGTGCAACCCTGTCTTAAAAATAAAATTAAAAGGGTGAGGGATGTAGCTCAGTGATAGAGTACCTGGGTTCAATCTCCAGTACTACCAAAAAAGTGAAACTGCAAATAAGGGAGGACTAACATTGAATTATCTTTCAGGAAAGTGTGAAAAAAGACTGGAGACAGTATCTCTACTGTCTGCTTTTAGCTTTCATTGAATCAGAATTTAGCTTTTTCTCTCCATGATGGCAAAGAGAAGGAAATAGATGGAGACATTTTCATAATTATTAGACAATGAGTGCATATTGACAGATAACAGTGCTATTTCTACACTTTATAACCTTACTGAATTCTGGCTCTCTGAAAATATTACCAGAACAACTTGTTGGTAAGAAAAAGTTGAATTTATTCTACACTGTAATAAGAGAGAGCACTAATTAACCTCAACAATCTCAGTAATGTTTTAGAAGGGGGGAAAGTAAATCTGGTTTTAAAATGAAGCTTTTATTAGGGAAGAGGACTTGATTAATTTGAGTAAGGATCATGATAAAATATTGTGGTAAAGGATTTTAGCTATCTGGAATATTTTGTTTCACTAAAAAGTTGTATATTGTTTATATGCCAAATGTGATGTTTACAGTGTTTGAACAAAATTTTTTAAAAATTTCTTCATATCAAAATTTACTTGATATAAAGAAATTTGCTATGTTTAAATTATTAAAATTGCTAATGAATCTGTTTTCCCTATTACCTCTTGTTCATGCTTTGTAAAATGACTTAAGATGTTAAAAACATTTAGTCATTTGGATCCAGATGATAAAGAGTGATGACAGATTTTCCTAGTGTATTGAAGGTAAAGATATTTTTCTTTGCTCTTGTGTTTTTTTCTAGGTTAGTCTTTTTTTGTCTAAGCTGTTTTTTCTTTTATTTCTAATTCTTTCCTTAATTCTTATCATCTAATTCTGATTTATGTTGTGTCGTGGTTAATTTTAAAACATTGTTATAGTTTTTTTTATGTTTGGGCGCATATTTTTCTGTCATGTTTCTATTGTTGGGATGTTTGTTTTTCTTATAAAGACTTTTATAAGATTTGACTACAATTCTTTACTACTGCTCATTCTGTGTGGAAAAAGGAAGAGTGAGTGAGTTCAGGAGATCTTTTTTTAGCTTCTTGACTCCAAAGCTCTTCTGCTCTTCTGTTTTTTTGAGAAATAAATACATATGTTTAAATACATGTATTCCTACTTCCTGAGTTTCCTCCCCAACTTTTATTTCTTCTTCCTTTGCTTCCATCTCCTCTGTCCCACTCGGTTTGAGCTCTACTCTCTAAATTATCTCCATAGTATAAAAATATATAAAATAAAATAAAGATGTTGTGTCAACCAAAACCTGAAAAACCCAAAGTCAGTATGTATAGCACTACATGACAATCCAAATTTTTGTCCTGTGAGTGAGCTTTAAGAGTTCCTAAGGTTGGAGTGTGCCAGCCATGAACCCCTTACCATCACCCTTGCATATGTAAAACACTTCATAGTTTCAGCTGCTTTTCCCAAAATGGCTTATCTCACTTTGCTTCGAGTACCTGTTGATAGGTATTCTGTACTGAGATCTGGCAGAGGCCTCATATTTCTCTGCTTTCTTCACTTATACAGGTCTTGCAGTTGTTTATCCACATGAACTTGTAATTTTGGATTGTCACATAGTGCTATACATACTGACTTTGGGTTTTGGTTTTGCAGTCTTTGTTCCATGTGCTTTCATGGGCACATTCAGTGAAACCGTAAAACTGCCACTTCCACAGCCTTTTTCCAAAGTTAAGCCTTACATTATACATATTGTGGTAAAAGGCAACATCCAGTTTCTTCTAATTGTAGCAGAGTTTATTGATACTGAATTTACTGGTATTATTTTAATTACTATAATCTTTAGGAAAAATAATATGAATACTTGTCAGCTAGCCCAAAGTTTGGGGCAGTTGTCATGTGTCCAGAAAATAAAGCTACTACTATGATCAACCTTACCAATAGGAACTGAAAAGAACACATAGGCCAGATTAAAGCCATATACCAAATGCTAGAGAATTTGTTGTCTGTTCCCATTAAAGATTATATATTTTATATAATAGCTGAGAATAGAACTTTAAGTTTGCAGTGGTCCACTGTCATTCACCACAGTTCATCTCATTGTAAGAGGCACTCAGATAAACAGAATGAGCATATAGTGGAGACCAACACTCCTACTTTCTGTACCTTGGTTAATGGCTAATCTCTACATTTTCTCCTGGTATGCAATACTGCTTCTGATTTATTTTGGCCCAGGTGGGGGTGATGAAATTTCAGGTACCCTTACTTGGCTGTTCCCACCTAATAACTAAGGACAAACATGAAGGATCTACCAGCTGCTTTTTCAGGGTTTTTTAAGCAATTAATTAATAAATGCCAGCCCAACTCTAAGTGCTTAAAATTACCACTGCCCCTTCTCTTGTTCATTTGCTACCATGAGTACCTAAGCCATTGCCTTTACTGCTTCATCTGTACCTCATCCTGATCCATACCATGTTACCGTTTTACTAATGAGAAATCCTATTCCAGAGTCCTGTCCTGTGTCTCACCACTAGACCAGTTTCATTGTCAGTGTCTTAGCCTAAATTCTTTCCAGAAATCAGGGCCTGAAATGAGGGCTCATTTGACAGGTGATCTATCTTGAGGTGTGATGGGGAAGTAAAACAGAGGAGGTTCATGCAATGTCTACAATTAATCTGGACACCACTGTGGGCAACTAGAATTGGTCTTACTGGGGGCTCTATCAGGGGACTGAAGAGAGGACCTGCTTTCTCCACTAGTCATTGGTGGCCCTTGGGGTATCCATCACTTACCCTGTAAGGCTACATATACATAGATTTTACACAGAGCCTCCAATAAGCAGGTGCAAGGCAAGGGATGCACAGTGCAGCTAAGACCAGGAGCTGCAAGGTCACCTTTAAGGAAGCTGGTTGTTTCAGCAGTGAGTGAAGTGAGAATGGGCTGAAAAATGAGGAAAATGGGTTCAAGACACAGTAGTGTTTTGTATTTAATGTGGAGTCTTAATTAAAGTCAGGGAAAATGAGAGGGATCCCACCCAACATCCTACTACATGAGCATAAGTGATCAAATATTATACTGGAAATTATTTCTTAACCTGTATGTATACTTGAGATAAAAAGTCATCACTAAAATCCTGTGTACATTATTTTATTTACTGTTTCTATTATCACTGCAAAAAGAACCATTGCTTTGATAAATACTTCCTAGCCTGCCAAACTATTTTGTTTATATACCTCTTTCTAATAGTATTTAATTGATCCAAATTTATGATATTTTCCTAAAGCAAATTCCTAATAAAACGTAAATAGGACACTCAAATTTTTATCCAAGTGATATTAAAAACCCAAATCCACATATAATTTCATTACTAGTTTCTTTCATACTCATTTAGTCCAAATGTTATAACTTCCTTTTGTGTTTGTGTATGTTGTTTTTAACTTATTGCTAGATATTTTAGAGCTCTGGTTTCTTAAAAGTTCCATTTTCTAATCATTGCTTCCTTTTTTAAGTAAGATTTTTAATTCTGATTTTAACCAATTTTTAGTGAGATATATAGTAGTATTTGTAATCTTTAAATCTATAATTTTAAAATGGAACATGATTTTCTTATTTTAGAAAAGCCCTTATAATATTTCTTGTGAACTGTGAAATTTTAATATATATGATTGTTAAATATATGTTTAATTTAGTAATACGAAACATGAAAACTAGATAAGAACTGAAGATACAAATTTTGCTGTCATTCATATTTTTATACAAAGATTGTTGATGGTAGTCATCTTTACAATGTCTTTGCGAACATAATTACAAAATTGAAAAACAAAAAGAAAACAGGTTAAAAATTTCATTGCAGTTCACAATATCTCCTGTAGAGGGCAGAAGAGAACTTAGATGTTTTTCTCTGCCCATAATATGGCTTTTCTAGCTTAGTATTCAAATGCTCATTATTATTGCAGATATAAGTAAGTAAAAATAGTACCTAGACCAAAATGATAAGGACTATCCTTTTTCTTTTTTTTTTTTTTTCTCAGTACTGGGGATTGAACTCAGGGTCTCACACATGCTAGGCAAGCTCTCTACCACGGAGTTACATCTTCAGCTCAGAT